CCATGGAGTGGTAGAAAACAAAACAAAATGAGAGACTTAAGCCCTAAAATATCACTAAGTACATTAAATGTAAGTGGTTTAATGTGCCCATTAAAAGAGATAGTGGGAGGGCTGGGGCTGTAGCTCAGTAGCAGAGCATTTGTCTAGCATGTGTGAGGCACTAGGTTTGATCCTTAAACAAAGTCATGCTGTTTATCTACAACTGCAAAAAAATTTTTAAAAAACACCTAACACACTTAACATACCGGTAGAACCATCTGCAGATATGTAATCTTAATACCATCCACCAATGTCAAACCAGCATAGAACACCATCAGCACAACAGTATTCTTTACAAATGCTCATGGTACATACACCTACACAGACTATATCCTGGCCATAAAAAATAATAAGTTGTAAGGCTGGGGTTGTAGCTCAGTATCAGAGCACTTGCCTAGCACTTGTGAGGCACTGGGTTTGATCCTCAGCGCCACATAAAAATAAACATAAAATAAAGGCATTCTGTCCATCTACAACTACAAAAAAATTTTTTTAAACAAATAAATTGAGTACAGTAGCATGAGCCTATGATCGCAGATACTTGGGAGGCTGAGGCAGGATGGCAAGTTGGAACTTGGGCCACACAGCAAGACCCCATCTCAAAAAAAGCAAAACAAAACAGAAAAACAGGGTCGGGAGTGTATGTAGCTCAGTGGCAAAGTGCTTGCTGAGCTTGTGTGATGCCCTGGATTCAATCCCCAACACTGTAAAAAACAAACAAATAACTTGCAAAAATAATGGAAACCGCACAGTGTATTCTTTGATCACAATGGAGTCAATGCCTGGGTGGTTCTCTCCTTAAATCAGAGCTAAACCAAGAGTGCCTGCTCTTACAACTCCTATTCAACATTACACTGGAGGTATTAGCCAGGAAATTAGGCACAAAACAAAACAAGAACAAAAAAAGCATCAAATTGTAAAGAAAGAAGGAAACTATTTGCAGATGACATGGTCTTGCATATAGAAAATCCTAAGGAATTCACTAAAACATTAGAACTAATAAAATTGCAAGATCAATATATACTTGCAATGAACAATTTACAACATGAAAATAAGGGGCTGGGTTGCGGCTCACTGATAAGAGTGCTTGCCTTGCACATGTGAGGCACTAGGCCCCACATATAAATAAAAAAGGTGTCCATCTACAACTAAAAAAAAAAATTTTTTTAATTGTTTTGACTGTAGTCAAAACAATCTTGAATTAGAAGAGCACTGGAATGACACTTCCTGATTTCAAAATTTACTATAATGATTATTAAACTACAGTAATCAAGACCATGTGACACTGGCATAAGGCTAAAAATATAGATCAGTGGAACAGAATGGAAACTCCAGAAATAAAGCCTCATCTCTGCTCATTTTTTTAAATATCTTTTTTTAATATATTCATTTTTTTTATGTGGTGCTGAAGATTGAACCCAGGACCTCACGTGTGCAAGGCAAGCGCTATACCCCTGAGCTACAACCCCAGCCCTCTGCTCAATTTTCAGCAAATCTGCCAAGACAATTCAGTTGGGGAAAGAATCGAAATCAGAAAACAATTCCTTGCAATGCCACATGACTATAATCCCAGCAGCTTGGGAGGTTGAGGCAAGACCATCACAAAGTGGAGGCCAGCCTGGGCAACTTAGCAAGACCTGTCTCAAAAAAAAAAAAAAAAAAAAAAAAAAAAAAAAAAAA